ATATATATATATATATTTATATATATACACACACACACATTAAGTGGCATTTTGGCCTGTGATTAAAGAAAATATAATGATTGGTTTTATATTAAATAATCTCTCTTTTTTTTTTAATTACATTGTATGAATGTTTTTGACTGAAGTATATAGAATAAAAATTTAAGGTTTGAACCAAACCATAATAATTTTGGCTGGAGAGAAAATATATATATAGTTCTTTAATGACATCACTGTCCAGGAAGTGACATAATTTTGGTGGGAAACCAGCACAAAGATCAGTAAGTTTTAGATTTGATTCTGTGATTTTTGTGGTACTGGTTGGTTTGTCTCATTTGAAAACATTTGATAAAATTGCATAATTATTTTATTCTCACAATTTCAAAGCTTTTAAAAAAAATGTCAGTCCCTCACTGAGAAATGGCTAATTTCAGCTCTGTATTTTATTTCTGTTTCAGAAATGTTATTTGAAATGTTATCAGAAATGTAATTAAATGTTTTATTTCTGCTCTTTTCTGAAAGTCTGAAACACCCTTTTTATAGAAATACTTTTTTATTATTATTACAACAAAAGCATATTCCTGTTACAAAGTTATTTAAAATATTAGCATAACAACTGCAGTGATGCTGGTCAACAAACATGGTTTCGCTTGTGATGCTATAAACAACCAGGCTGAAACGCAGCATCATCCAATGAATCGTGTTTTTTGTTTTTCTCTTTGTGGAGAAGGAAACAATGCTGTTCTCGTCAGATGGAGATAAATGTCCTCTGCTGTCCAAACTGAAAGAGATGTTCTCAAGCGTATAGCCTGAGTCCTGACTTTCATATGGCACTTATCGCACAACCTCAAAAGCAAAACACACATGAAAGCACCATCAGCCAAGACTGCAATATCTTTCTGCTCTTATCAGAGACACCCTACTGCTCTACAATCTCTTGATGATTTTCTTCTGCCACATTTGTGAAAATGCATTTGCCGGATATGCATCAGTGGCTTCTAGATGTACACTGATACCGTGTTTTACACTGCTGAGTTAGAAAATGGTGTCTAGAGATGCTGACATCACACTGCAAAATTAGTTCATGCAAGTACAATAATCAAGTGGTTCCATTTTCATTTCTGGAGAATGATTGGACATTATAAAAAGCTTCTAAAGAGCATGTGAAATCCCTTGAAAAAAGTGCAGCTTCCTTTTCTGTGTTGACAAATTTCCTATTGAAAATAGTTTTTTTTTTTTTTTTTAAATAGGCAACAGGCTTAATTTACATCACAGCCACTCTGCAAAAACGTCTTATTCTTAATGAGTAATGAGACTGTTCAAATATTGTATTTTCTCTCAGCCTTTGGCAGGAGTGTGGCACCATTAGTTATGTTTTTGTGAAGCAGGTATTTCCAATTTAAGAGTAATTTTCCCTAAATTTCTCTCAACGACTCCCTCCATCATTCATGTTCTTATAGAGATGGTAATATTTCAAACAAGATATTAGACATGCAATGATGAACAAATTAAAAGCTTAGAAAAGTATCTTACATGCTGTGTCATATTGTCTTAACTTGTTTTAAAAACAAATGAGCTTATATTCAAAATACAATCTATGAATAAAATTATGTATATGAATAACTTATTTTAATATTAATATTATATATAATAATCTTTTTTTATATGGTAGAGTTCATTTATTTTGTTGATTTTAGATATTGTTTCAGGAAAACAAGTAAATTATAAGCTAAAAAATGTTTACTAATTAAAAACTTTTTTTCCATGGCATAAACTATTTGCAACTTGCTAATCAAAAAGCAGGTGGTATTTAAAATAAGTATGTTCTTATTAAAGTAAGCAGTTTATTGGCCATATGAGTGCAAGATGAATCAATATTTTAAGTCAGTTTAAATGCACATATCTGCTAAAAGGTAATTAGTAAAAGTTATCAAAAAAAAAAATCTTATACCCAGTTAACATAATTTCTGAACATTCTCTCTTTTTTTTCTTGGTTATGTGAATGTTAAAGACAACATTAAGGGGAATGTTCCATTTTATTATTTTGCAAATATTATGGAAATGTTACTTTTGAATGGTCTCTAAATCATCTTAGACGAACATCCAACTTTTTTTTTTCAGTAAATGTGCCATAAATGATATTTTTGTGCTGAAGTTTTGAGAACATTTTTAAATACCAGATAACTTTGAGTGAACTTTCTATTAACATTACTGAAAGAATGTTTGTCCATAACTTTAAGAGAACCTAGAATGTTGTGAGAGCGTTCCATGTTAGCTGGGCTGCATAGGTGGCCTCAAAAATTACACACAAGGACTAAAAGCCAGGCTCTTTAAATGCAATAGTAAATTCATTTTCGTTAATATTCTTAATTGAATATCTGCCAGCGATTTCTACTTTATCGCTCCCGCTCTCTCAGGCAAAAAATTTCACCTGTGATCGGTAACCTTATTTAGCCTGTGAAGCAGATGGGATGTGACAATTCTTTGATACATAATTTGCTCTTCAGCGCAGGTGCTGATTGAACTGGATCATTATTCAGTGACACCCACTCTCACCACCCTCTCTTCTGAGTCACAGCCCTCCGCTGGCCTGTTCTTCATCATCTCCCAGCCCACCTCCTCATCGCCCCCTTTACATCTCGCATCCCCTGTTCACGCTTCTATACACACACCATCTCCAGCGTCGTTTAGCCAGAACTCATTAACAAAGGCTGACAGCAGCTCCAAAGGCACTCTAACTCTGACTCACTGGATTTTTGTACTATTCTGAATCCATTTGTACATCAGATATTATTTGAATAATGATTTAAATACATAAACACGTGCACACATCCCTCATTGTAAAGCTTACTATAAACACTGTGATGATAAGACGTGTTAGTTCTTCCTTCCAGGGATTCATATTTATTCACTTTGGCAATCCAGTGATGGGGAAGAGCGAGGATGTGTGTGGGGGATGGGAAATGGGAATTGCATAACCTCTGAGCTCAATCTTAGCATGAAGTGGCCACCAAGAAAAGGGGGAAAAAATAGAGGAGAGGGAGGGAGGAATAAAGAGAAGCGGGAGAGAGTATGAAAGAGAGAAAGTCTCCCTTTGCCCTTATAGTGAAAGGTGGAAAAATAAAATTAGGCTACAATCAGAGGTGTGAAAACAGGATGACTGGGACAATGGTGTACAGTTCAAGAGTGCTTACCTGGATAGAGCAAATATGTGGTTCCTGGTGCAAAATATATTCACAGTGCATAAAATAAAAGAGTTTATATACAGTTTAGCTCCTCCCACCACAACATAAAAACAGACAATTCAAAAAAGGGTAATGCCGAATAAATAGTACAGAAAAGAAACATACATTGAGATACAGAAAAAATATATTTTGCTATAATAATTGTTACATTTTTTATTATTGTAATATTAATTAACATCATACGCAATTTACTAACATTTTACATCACATAGCATGTTAATAAAATAATATATATATATATATACAGTGTATGTTTGTTTGCAAATGAGACATGTTAGAC